AATTCTCTATAAAATAGAATGCCATTCATCAAAATATGTTTTTTTTCTTTGATAAACTTTTAAAAAAAATAATACAATACAAAAAAATATAATATAAACTCAAATTATAAAATTGTAAGTAGCTTTTTTAATTAATTTTATATTGATAATTCTATCTAAAAAATTAAATTATATTAAAATATAATAAAATAAATCAATAATATTATAATTAATAAGTAATATAAATAAAATAAGAGTAAATAATATAAATCAATAAAATAATAATATGAAAAATAAAAATCTTTAAATAAAACTTTTTAATACAGAAAAATTACTGAAAAGTAGGAAATGCATGTAAACCCAACAATAATAACAAATTGGTTGTTCTCATCACAATAAATAATGATATATTTTTTATTATAAGCTAACTAAACTAATAATTAACTAATATAAATTTAATAATATGTAATGTATTAGGAAAAATGTAAATTAAATAAATAAAAATAATAATAATAATTTTTGAAAATTTACTCGTAATTGTAACAGTGGTAAAACCCATCTTCTCCGTGTCTTTTCGTCTCTCTTTTACCTCTTCTTCCATTAAAAAAAAATAAAATCGTGAAGGCGTGAGTGCTGCAAGTAACAAGTGAATAATTTTATCTATTTATTTATTCCAAGTCCATTTAATATGGATAATGGAGTAATAAATTCATCGTTCCATGGATAAAGAACAGAAAATGGAATTAAGCACAACAGGTATACATTGATAATAAGAACGTCCAGTACATGCAAGTAATATGCAGTAGCTAGGCGCGTAGCAGCATAATTGCGAATTAAGTAACTGATCTGATATGGTTGAAAGACAAATTGCAGAGTAAATAAGGCTCCACACCACTTTATTTAGAAGACCATATAATAAGAACACAAATAATTAACGATGATGGCTAGCTGTTTGCAGTGCACTACTCCTTGAGAATTAATTCATCCACCTCCAGGAAGTTCTTTACCACAAAATCCTTAATCATGTGTGGGACTTCAACATCTTCGCTTGCCTTTTCATACTCGCACATCCATTTCACCAAGCTTCCATCTCCCTTTGGATTAACAACTATGGTTGCCCTGAAACTCTTGTAGTATTTTAGAAGATCACCCTCGATCACACTGTAAGAGACCTCCTTCTTTGCTTCGTCTACAGTGTCAATCCTCTCTTTCGACACCTTCACAAGCGGAGAACCTGAGAAGCAAAAATATTGTATGACCGAAGTAGTACTGATCATCGGTATTTGAGCATAATTCCCAAAGTGATATACTAATTAACTAGTTGGTTACATGATGCTAATTGTACTTGTGTGTGCGCGCTTTTTTACCTTCAGCGTATGTGAAGAGGCGAATGGAACCAGCTGCCTTGCCATCGCCTTCCAGTATTTCAATGCTCTTGTATTGGTCAGGGAAGGCCTTTGGGAAGAGAGTTGTGGAGTCTCTAATGTTATCCCAGAACTTTTTTGCAGCAGACTTGATCTCAACATCTACTTCAAGCTTTCCAACGGAAGCCATTGTAGTAATGCAGGAAATGTTCTTAAGTAGATTAAGAAAGAAATGAGCTCTCTACGGTGTAAACTATATGTTAGAACCTGATATATGCTCTTGTACATTTATATAGTAATGGTGAAGCTTTGGATATAGATGGGAGCCTTAAATTCACTAGGAACAGGTTCACCTGCCACTTTCTTAACTGCTATCAATGTTATCATGTCGTTGAATAATTCATCACTCACCGCCCCTTGCAAGAAATGGGCCCGACCGCATAAATTTTTTTTCTCTACCTGGCGCATAGCCAGTTGGCCGAGCAATTACTACGGTCTGCATGCTGCAATTTAAAGTTAAACCACGGTTTCTGTAAATTGATAAAAAGTGTGGACTCGGTTAATCGTTTTAAACCAATTGCAATAGCGTTTATAGCCGAATCAAGTCAAATCACTGAACTTCACAGGTCTGTTAAATCGTAGACTTAGATCTACAGTATGCTCAGATGGGTATGCATCGCAGGGTTTTCTTGTGAGTTCTAGGAAGGATGTGCTCAGTTGGCGTGCCCAACTATATATATATATATATATATATAGAGAGAGAGAGAGAGAGAGAGGTTGCTAATATTAATTTCAGTAGAGAAATTTTTTATAATTATTTAAAAATTAATTTGATATAACTTGGTTTTGTTGGGTTTAAAATCAACCTGATAACCAGTGTTTTGTTGGGTTTAAAATCAACCTGATAATCGGTAAATATAGTTTAACTCAAAATAAATATTTAATGTTAATAAATATAGTTTAATTCAAAATAAATATTTAATGTTAATGTTTTTTAATAAACACCTAGATAACAACATATTGAATCAATTCAGGTCAACTTAAATTAATCTAGCTATCAATATATATATCAATTCACGAGATTATGATAACCCTATATAAAACAAATTAAAATAAATTATGAAACTTAATTTTTAATAAACTCAATGTTGAAATATAAAATTAAAAAAAAAAAATTAAAAAATTATTCAAAAAAATGATCTAAGTAAACCCAGTTTAAGTTGTTAAACTCGTAACTTCAATCATGAGACTATGATAATCCAATAAAAAAAATTATAAAATTTAATTCTCAATCAATTCAGTATTAAAAAAAATAAATTAAAAAAAATATAAAAAACAACTCAAGTAAACTAGGGTGAACCACCAAAATTATCACTTTGAATCATGAGATGGGAATAATCACATTAAAAGTGTGTGTGTATCTTAAAATATAAGTTTCAATCAACTCAATATTAAAAAAAAAAATTAAAAAAAAAAATTAGAAAAGAAAGGAATAACTTGAGTTAATTGAATTAATCCATTAATTTCACAGTCCAGATTATAAATCTAGGATGATCTTATAAAAAATAAATTAAAAAAATTATGAAATTAAATTTTTAATAAATTCAATATTAAATAATAAAATTAAAAAATATATAAACTAGAAAAAAAAACATTAATATTATATTATATTATATTATATTATATGAGGAGAAGTAGAGTAAAAACCCTTCCTCCTCCTTTAATTTTAATTTTTTAATAAACACATGATTGATAAAGTGGGTGAATTTGAAGTAGTTTATTAAAAAGGTTTTTGTTGTTTTCCGTTTCAAGACAAAACAAAGTGTGGCATTGCCTTAAATGAGTTAAAACGCATTTAGCTATCAACCATTTTGATTAGCATCTCTGTACTTATTCCTTTGATCTTAATACATTAATCATGGAGGTGTTGATGTCATGGAGGAAGTTTCCTGAAAATCATAGATTACCATAAAGAACATATTGATAGAAGTGAGGTTGCTCCATGAATATATATATATATATATATATATATATATATATATATAATGAAATTTAAGACTGATTTAACAACAGAGTGCACAAATAAGAAAAATTGATCATTTAATTTGTGCTCCTGAGATACTTATTAAGAGTTATTTAATTTTTTTAATCAATCACTACATTTACCTTTTCGTCTATATCATTTTAGTTAATAACTGTTAGTTGCATTTAAAATATATATATATATATATAAAAAAAAACCTCTACAACACATGTGATTATATCACATAGACAAATTTTATGATTAGTACTGACTAATTTCACAAACATGACCGCCTAAAAATTAAGTTATATTATTAGAATGTAAAGTAATTGATTTTTTTTTCAGGTTTTAACGATAGTAATGTATATTAAATAAGTCCCTTTCATGGGAGTGGGAGAGGGAGAAGCAGAGGGAGAGCGTTTTTGTCTAGTATTGGTTAATCTTTTAGGGATTATTTGGAACAACAATTGAACTGTTATTTTGTTATTTTTTGAAAAAAAAAATTGCTTTAAATAATTTTTTTATTTTTTAATTATTTTAATATATTTTTTAAAAATATATTTTAAAAAATAATCTCTACTATTATTTCAAAAAATCTTTAAGGAATTTTTATATATGTTAAAGCAACAGCCGAATTTATAGGTTCCTTTATTGTTAGGTTCGGGCTCCAGCCAGCGAAGCATTAAAGTTCGAGTGCGAGTATTTTTTTTTATTTTTTTTTTGGCGATGATTCAAGATTCCGAACCATAAACCACCGAGTTAAAGTAGAAAGAGAAATCGCTAGCCATCCGAAAAAGGAAAGTTAAAGATTACAGGTTTCATAGTCTCAAATCTGAATGGAAATGAACATTTATTATATCATGCTGCTCAATGCAATTAAATGTTTTGAAGTTTGAGTTTGCTTGTTTTTTAAAAATATTTTAAAAAAATTTAAATTTGTTTATTTATCTATTTAATTAAAATTAATTTTTTTATTTTTAAATTATTTTAATGTACTATTTTTTATTTTATATGACGTTATCAGCAATATTCTTTCAAAAGTTACGAGTAACAAATGTTACGACTTCTGGGTGCTAAAAAATCACACTATTAGGAAGCTCTAAGGTCCCAATCTATGCATGTGCCCGACAAAAACAAAACAGAAAAATACAATGAAATGGGTGTTTTTGAATATAATAATAATTGTTTTTTGAAGTAATTTTTATTTGAAAATATATTAAAATAATTTTTTATTTTTAAAAAAATTATTTTTGACATCATTAAAATAAAAAATAAAAATAATTTTAGAAAAAAAAACAAATATTAAAAAAAAATATTGTGTGAAACATAATTCTAAAAAAGCAAGTCCACAGTTAACAAGTGGCAGGTTTATGGAAACCAGTTTTCAGTCTTTCCCTCTGTCCCTTGTTCTCATCTCCCAACTCCACAAACATGTCAGCAGCAAGCAGTTCAGACATATATTCACAATATTGAAGCATACAATAACTTTTTATGATTGGTGAACACGACTTGAAAGTATAGAAAATGGGGACCTTAGATCCCACAATATCATCAATGGCAATCAAATTATTGTTAATGTCTAATTTCTTGGACATTTTCAAAGAGATGACGATGAAGATAGTTTTGTGGAACAGAGATAAAAGGTGGGAGAGAGATAAAAATACCAATTTACTGAAAATTGGATGGAAGGAATGAAAGCACCCGCTCAACTGCCATGCACCTTGCTTGTTCAAAAAAGAAGAAGAAAATCAAATAAGAAATGGAGGGAGAGGTAGCAGCTTGTATTTCCTTATCAAACATCCCACCACTCCACAAAATCATCAAAAGGTAAGTAGGCGATACCCGACTTTTACTATGTTTGCCTTTTCTTTTTCTTGAAGCACATCCCCCCCCCCCAAAAAAAAAAAAAAAAAACAGGTTGTTGGAAGATGTTGTAGTCGAGTATTCTCCTAATCTTCCTTCTCTTGCTCAATACGTACTCATCTGGGGATTCTCCTAATAATATTTACTCACATTTAGCAACTGCAGTTTATAATCATTTCCACTTTCGTCATATATTTTTTTCGAAGAAATATAAAGTTCAATCCAAGTTAGATGAACTGGATTAATCTCTGGAGAAGAGATCCGTGAGATCCATCTTCCTAGATTGTCATGAAATCTCATCTGTTAGCATTATGCGCTTCGTTGCTTTAATCCTTTAGTAGAGTAGACGTTAAAAAATTAGCCGATGAAGAACATTATGCCATTTGGGTTAGTCTCAGCATGGAACAAGCGACGGAGAAGCAAGTCCCAAGATCACTCAGACCCTTGTACGCCCTCCTCCTCTCTCTCTTTTTATTTTCCATACAAATTTTCCTTCACCCTAATTTGCAGATTAAAATAGCAGTTTCCGTAGTTTGATATTTTGTTTACCTTCTAGGGGTTTATAAACCTATGGAGTTTTGGCAACTTGAAGATCAAACACCTCAATCCACAAAGAGACGTCATGGATCATCGGTTTTCACACTCAAGGAAATGGAAGAAGCAACGTGCTCTTTCAGTGAAAAAAATTTGGTTGGAAAAGGGGGATTTGGCCGCGTCTATAGAGGCGTCCTGCGGTCAGGAGAGGTACTACTTTTAACAGAAAATTTTATCATACTCCCAGGAAGAAAAAAAAAACTCATATGGTCATGAAATGGATGTTTCTTAACACAAATCATGATCTGAATGGCATTTGCGCTAGAATTCTGAATTTCCCAAATAGACATAAAGCTAATGCGTTCGATTTTAATTCTAAAAATCCTTCGGCTAATTTAGTTCCTCTATTATGTAAAACACCAGAACAAAGAGCAGTTAAACATGACACTCTAGTGTTCGAAAAACATACAAAATTGCTTCTCTTCCTAATCTGTAGGTTGTAGCAATCAAGAAAATGGAGCTGCCGAAATTTAAAGAAGCTGAAGGGGAACGGGAGTTTCGTGTAGAAGTTGACATCTTGAGCAGACTTGAGCACCCCAATCTGGTTTCCTTGATTGGATATTGTGCTGATGGGAAGGACAGGTTTCTAGTGTATGAATATCTGCAACATGGGAATCTGCAAGATCATTTAAATGGTCAGTTTATCACTCAAAATACTATTCTCATTCCCAAATCCTTAATTGCATATCTAGTAACCTGCAACTGTATTCTAGGATTTGGAAAAGCAAAAATGGAATGGCCTTTAAGGTTAAAAGTGGCACTTGGATCAGCAAGGGGACTTGCTTATCTACATTCAAGTTCTGATGTTGGCATACCAATTGTCCACAGAGATTTTAAATCCACCAACATCCTTCTAAATGCAAATTTTGAAGCTAAGGTAACAATTTTGAGGCTTGCTAATAATCTCAACTGACCCACGAACACCTATGTCCCATGTTGACAGTGAGGTTCTTCATAACTACTGCTGATAAAAAAAATGTTACAAATAAATATCAGAATCAAAAGCATAGAGCTAAACTCCGTGTATCCCTATCCATTACAGATATCTGATTTTGGTCTTGCAAAGCTGATGCCGGAGGGGCAGGAGATATTTGTGACTGCAAGAGTTCTCGGAACATTTGGGTATTTCGATCCTGAGTATACATCGGTATGAACTTCTGTTAACTTATTTACATGTCTAAATGGAAATTGCCGTTGTTTAACCACAATTTCTTGTTCTTTTTCATGAATAAACTCTTAATTAAGAGTTTGAATCATGCCTTTGTAACATGTTCAGACATGGGCCATGGCTAGTTCCTAACCTCATTAAAGCATCAGTCATAATTAGGAAGGCAAGCTACTGGGAAGAAATTTCTCGGTAGCTATGAAGGTTAAGAATTATGAGCTATAACCAGATGAACCTGACTAGCCTTAAGAGTGTACTCACTTTTTTTATGTCTGAGGTTGATCTGTGTTTGCTAACATGCATATAAAACTGAAAGTGGTCAAGAAACAGAAGCATTTAACAAAGAAAATTAGCAACTTCTCTATTTTAGCAACCCTAAAGGACTTGCTAGCAATTAAGATGTGTTTTATATCTTACACCAAATAAAGATGGCAAAAAATCTGAACCTGAAATTTCAACAACTTTGAATTAATAGTAAAATCTAAGTAAATCTCAATGCAACAAGATTATACTATGCTATGCATTTAGAAAAAAAAAAAATAAAGATTTATATGCATAGCTTTCTTTAGCACTATTGCTGGTTCACTTGCAACTACATCAGACAAAACCTGAAGTTATCAGTTATGCAGACTACGACAATTACAACACTTCCTGTAATTGATCTTGGGTTGGGGTTTGTGACCAAAACAGTGCATGTTCTGACCACATTTTGTGCATCAAATAAATAAATCGGCGCTGAAAATTCTCTTCCAGGAAATTTTTTAATGCAAACTCATTACATTTGGCCCTGCCTGGATTTACATTAATCACCAAGAAAGTTCTAAATCATGCACCAAACATTTTCAATAAAAGCAGCACAAAAAATAAAAAATAAAAACCTTCAAGGCAAGGATCTGACAGTGTCTGAGAAACATCAAGCAACTCCTAGTTTGACTTTGATTCAAGTATAATATTACCTAACATCTCTTCATCATCAGCTTAACTCAGTTAGGCACTTAGTTGAGACCAATCCCTAATTAGTTGGAGTCTATGCCTTTGATGAAGCAAGAATTATTGCACAACAATCTTCAGTCCCAGAAATTAATTTTTGCCTAGTTAAATTTGATTAGCAAGTTAGATCTAAGGATTAGCCTCTCACGTTTCATGACAGACAGGGAAACTCACTTTACAAAGTGATGTATATGCATTCGGTGTGGTTCTTCTTGAGCTTTTGACTGGGCGTAGAGCAGTAGACTTAAACCAGGGACCAAGTGATCAAAACCTTGTCCTACAGGTATGACAAACTCATCCTATTTCAACTGATTTTTCTACTATAGTTTTGAGGATATTAGAGGATTAACCATGAACATGGCTGAAATACTAAATAAATTATCCTTTATGTTTCAGGTTAGGCATATTTTGAATGATCGGAAAAAGTTACGCAAGGTGACTGATCCGGAGCTTAGTCGAAGTTCATACACATTGGAATCTATTGCTATGTTTGCCAACCTAGCTTCACGCTGCATCCGCATTCAGAGCAGTGAGAGACCCTCCATGGCTGAATGTGTGAAAGAACTCCAAACAATTATCTACACCAATTCAAAACCCATGGGCATGATGAATTTCAAAATGGTCTAATAAATGGTTCATCAGCACAGAAAGTGTTACATCAACAATAAAGATCCTCTATTTTCCTTCATTTGGTAATTGACACTTTGAAGGCAAGAGACCTATGATTTTAAAAGTATAAGCGTACAACAACAAACAAAAAAAGACATGTTATGGAGAAAGGATTCTAGTAATTTATCAATTACAGCAGACAAAATTTAAGAATAAAATAAATACGGTTTTATGGTAAAGAACTTAAACCATAAAAATGTATAGAGCAAACAAAATAGAATCTACAACCAGCAAGAAACATTATTTGTATATGTGGTTCTGTCTAGAATCAACATTTCATTTTACTTATTTTTCCACTTAATGACAACTGTTGTATATTATATCATTTTGAAATATGGAGAGGTACATTCTTTGCTTGATAAAAAGGTATGATAAGGCAGGTCCCATTGAGATTTCACAACCAATTTTAGTGGCGACTTTTCTTTTCTATTTTACTTTTTGTCCAAGATTACACTTTACATGTTTACATTTTCTGTTTGCCATATGCATGTTTTGTAAATTCATTGAGTATAATGTAAATCACATATAAGAAACGGAGATGCCTGGTGGGGATTACCTGTAACACAATATGTTTACGCCATGAATATGATAAATTACAAGCAAGGAGATGCTGGACCATCAGATCGATTTTCAGGCTTAAACCAACCTTATTGGATGATCACCACAACCTGGCCAGACTATACGCTGAAGGACCTGGACCAGAATCCAAATCTTCAGTAAGAAAAGTGTAACAGACAATATTAAAATATAGATAAAACTCACATGAGAATCTTAAAACAAAGATGTTGATGAGATTGATGAAAACATAAAGGAACAAAAGTAAATTTTAGCAATAATGATAAACAAAAACAATTAACATGGAGGTTGGGGGTCGGGGGTCGGGGGATGCATGAGAAAAACAAAAACAATTAACATGGAGGTTGGGGGGGGGATGCATGAGAAGTTACGAGTCCAATCAAGACAGTGTCTGATGTACCTCGGAAACAGGTGTCATGACTTCCATGTATCCATTTGTGAAGAAAATTCCATATTGGAGCCTGAAGTATCAAGTTCTGAAGGATTCTTTGAGACTAAAAGTTTCTTGCACATCAAATGTTTGCGCCTCTGCAACATCAAAAGGACCCATATGCTATCAGTTTTAACAATGGTGTAACCTGCTTTTGTGTACATGTTGAAAGGGGCTGAATCAATCATTCGGCAGTGCAAGTACACGTCTCGCATACTACTCATCTTGGAAATTAGTTCCTCGCTTGCCTTCAGAAGATTCCACCCAATTCCCCTCCTGGAAGTTCCACAGGCATAAAATTAAGTCCGGTCTAGTTCTACACAATGCACTTAGACACTGCAGGTTTTGAGACTAGTTTAGTAGCTAAGGGTCATGTAGGGGTGAGTTACCGATAAACATATAAAATTAAAAAAATCTGTATCGTGAAGATCTGTACATCATCAAGGCATTGACATATTCATGAAGCCACAGAAAAGGTAACACCTATCAAAGGAGCAAAAATCTTAAACTTACAGTTTGTGATGTAAGCGTATCAAGGTTCTGTTATTTCTAGTTCTCTCCATTGATAGTGTTATTAAGTTTCTGTTATTTCTAGTTCTCTCAATTGATAGTGTTATTAACAAATTAAATGCACCGTTCTATATCAAATTGATATAACTTTTAGCGTTCAATTAGTTAGCAAAACACAGCACGCAAAATTGTATTTGTGCAGGTAAAAGAAGCCAAACCATATTTTCGTATGAGTACGAGTAAAAGATTAGAATTTCAAATGGCTATCTATAAAAAATTGTCACAAATCCTCACCTGCTTAAAAATCTAATCATGTTAGAAAACTCAGGTAGCACAGACTTGTATGGAAATGTTATCAACCTTCCTGGAGTGATTTTTTTGTTCATTAAGGATTTCCGAGGTCATATAGTGTCAAGATCACACATTCTCAAACTTGGCTCTATCTTGGAAGACAAAGAACAGTTTTTGGTTGAGAGTTGAATGTATACGAAGGGTTCCTCTTAGGTATAAATTGACACCAGTCAAGATTCACAAGTTTAACAACAAGATGCTAACTAATTCCAAATAAAAGCAAAGTCGACAAATTTTAAGTAGAACTGCCTAATTCCAAGTACCCAAAAAAAAAGGTAAAAGCAAAGCTTAAGTACCTACGATGTGACTGCTTAACAGCCATGTTGCAAATGTAAGGAGCATTTTTTGGAGGGGTGGGTGTAGGAGGAGAAGCATTAGCCCCCCTTTTGTCAAAACAAACCTCTACAGTCCCTGCCAACTCTTCGAGGTCCTCCTCTTCTTCCCAACCATTCGTCTCTTGTTTCCCTTTGTAAAACCCAATAAGCGTAACGGCATGTGGTATTGCAGCTCGCCTTTCAATCAAGTACTGCTGCACAAAGTAGCAAACCAAAGACAGATAACCAACAGGCAACGACATAGACTCAACAAATGACTCTGCTAGCAATTTAACAGTGATATCCATCTCCCCCGGCTTCATCACCCTAACGAACATAGACCCAGTTTCAAGTTGTTGATAATATCTGAAATCTTCTAGTGCTTTTAGCTTTTCAATCTCTTCATTGCTCAAGAACCTCCCTGTTTTATATGAATCCTCAATATAGGAGTAGGTGGTGGAAGCACTTGGTGTTTCTGTTTCTGTTTCTGTTGCTGTTGTAGAGGAGGAGGAGGAGGAGGAGGAGCAGTTTGAGGAGAAACAGAATCTGGAGTTGAAATAGCAAGATTTGTGGAGAGAAAGGAAAGGTTGTTGTAGATTTGGGGGTAAAAGAATTAAGGGCTGTCTTTTGTAGGGTTGTGAATCTGAGAAGAGATTGAGAGAGGCTGAGACCGAGATCGTTGCAGCCATGGACAGGATGAAAGAAGAGGAGTTTGTTCAGTGCAGTTCAGATCTGTCTTGTAGTTTTAATGAGATAAACAGCAAGCAAAATCATCGCCATCGATCAATTCCATAAAATCCAGATGAAGATTTTTATTTTTATTGTTTCTTTTTATTTTATTTTTTAAAATTTTAAATTTCCCACATTGATCAAGTTCGTTTAGTCTAAATAAAATCGTAATAGCTTCAAATTTGATTTTTATCTAGAAATATATTAAAAACAATATTTTTTATTTTATAGTTTTATTTTTTTATATTATTACGTTAAAAAAATTAACAAATAATTATCGTCCCAGCGAGATTTTTTAAACATGCATAGAGGGAAAAGCTTATAAACAAATTACTAAAACATAGTATTAAATGTTATTTAAAAGCAAAAGGCAACATTTACATATAATTCATAATTATTAAAACATGGTTTTTGCTTCTTCTTCTTTTTATGCTTTACAAGATTTCCATGACCAGTGCCGTGACATCATCCGGTTTTTTTTGGATCGGGTTTTTTTACCTATTTAACTGGGTTCAAGCCAGGACATATTAAAACCCAATCTAATTAAAATTTAACCAACGGATAAATATTAGATAGCTATAAATTCAAGTTTTGACTTTTTCAAAAACATACAAATCAATGTCGTTTTATAAATAAAAATCTAGATATTTTATATGAACAACCCCGAGGCTGCGCTTACACCGTAAGCAATTAACAAATCCATAACATTTCTACTAAAATCAAGGATACTGGATCGGCCCAAGCCCAATCCGTTCCAAAATCATATATACTGGATCGGCCCAGACTGGGCCCGAGCCGTTCTAAAATCATATTTAGATGCTTGTGTGAAAAAACAAAAAACAAAAAAAACGTCAAATCGAAACGGCACCAGACCAGCATAAACAATGAATGTTTCTTTCTGAGTGAATCGGCCGAAATACTCGGAAAACCGTCTCGTTTGATATGGTTAATGAATTGCATATAACCAGGATAATCCGGTTCCTGGAAATCACAGTGCAAGGAGGAGCATGCTGATGCGATCATGGTGCTCCGTCATATAGAAGCCAGATAAGTAACTTTGGATGCCTTGCTTGGGGCTTTTTAGGTCAAAGAAATGGAGCCTCGCGGAGTTCAAAAGAGAGTAGAGACCTATTTCGACTTTTGGGGGACAGCCAAATTGCCATAATTATGACAAGCATTTTAACCTTCCACGGGAATCTTCTATGGGCGTTGAATTAAAATTAAAATTAAAAGAGAACCTTGAATGGGTGTCAGTTTCACTGTATCTCTATGCATATTTTACTCTTTTATCCTTGAGTGGAAAAATATTTAAGTCCGGACTCATTGATCATTAAAACATACGATTGTTTGAAGATGTATATGTTTTTCTATTTTTTAATACAATAAAAATATTAACAAAATTTATAAATATTGACCAACAATTTTTATAACTTTTCAAATGCTTATTGGTAGTAAAAAGGATACAAAATTTATTAAACTACTTCTGGACAGGGGTGTTTATAGTTTTTCTATAATCCATATACAGTTAAGGCACTTTTTAACCTTCGTAAAAGAAAACAATTAAGCTTCTCCTCTAAGGTATTATGGTATTTTTATACTAGTAATTTGTGTAATTAATAAGTTCATGAGTGTGTCTTTTAGTATTTTTTATATTTTTTTAATTTTTTATTCAGAAATATATTGGTACATGTTCTAAATGAGTGACATTTATACTATTTAGATGGCGCATATAATATCATTCGATGACTAAATCTAACCATCTGTTGTCTTACTAGATGTATAACCATTTCTTCTTTCATATGGTGTGGCGCATATATACATGTCATAATCGGATTGTTGCAAGTGGTTATTTGTGTTTTGTTTTTGTTTTTGCCTTTTCTCTTTTAAGCTGTTTCTTCTTTCATATGGTGTGGCACATATATACATGTCATAGTTGGATTGTTGCAAGTGGTTATTTGTGTTTTGTTTTTGTTTTTGCCTTTTCTCTTTTAAGCTAAAATGCATCGTTATCCTATTTGTTTTTTGATTTTTAATTTTAATCATTGTTTTTTAATTTTTTTATTATTTTTTTTAATTTAATCCTTCAATTATAATTTCTCAGGTGCTTTGTTTTTCATTTCAATCCTCATTTATTATATTTTCTATTTTATTTTTTTTAATTTTAATCATTGTTTTTTAATTTTTTTATTATTTTTTTTAATTTAATCCTTCAATTATAATTTCTCAGGTGCTTTGTTTTTCATTTCAA